CTTGAAACGCAGCAAACTTTCAACACGAATGGGCGCGGCGCTGAGGCGAGAGCCACAGATTGAAAAGAAGCCGCTCCGCATCTCTGAAACTGCTGTAAACGTATAAAACGAATGCGCGCGGCGCTAACGCGAGAGACAAAGTTTGGAAACTGCCCACCATAGGCGATACCCACGTGTTGAAAGCGGCCCGCCCTCCACCCTGCAATTGTTCAAGACGAATGCGCGCGGCGCTAACGCGAGAGCCAAATCTTGAACACCGCCCGCCCTCCATCCCGAATGCGCGCGGCACTCAGGCGAGACCCGCAGTTTGACAACGGTCCGCCCTCCATCCTTGAAACTGCTACTGACTTAAAATAAGACTGCACGCGGCGCTAAAGCGAGAGGCACAGTTTGAAAACTAGCCACCCTCCATCCTTGAAACTGTTCGCTAAACTCAAATGTCATTACCACAAGTGGTGGGGAGGTCCCAGGCGAAGCGCCCGACCCGCCCTGCCGACACGTCTGGAAAGTGCGACAAGGAGGCAATACGTTTGAGGAAGAAGGATGGATGCAGCAGGAAGAGCAGAAGAAAAGAGGAGGAGCAGCAACAGAGAGAAGAGCAAGAGGAGGATGAGGAGGAGGAGGAGGAGGAGGAGGAGGAGGAGGGAAGAGGAGGCGGAAGAGCAGGAGCAGGAGCAGGAGGAGGAGGAGGAGGAGGAGGAGGAGGGAGGAGGAGGAGGAGGAGGAGGAGGAGGAGGAGGAGGAGGAGGGAGGAGAGGAGGAGGAGGAGGAGGGAGGAGGAGGAGGAGGAGGAGGAAGAGGAGGAGGAGGAGGAGGAGGAGGGAGGAGGAGGAGGAGGACGAGGAGGGAGGAGCAGGGAGGAGCGGGGAGGAGGAGAAGGGAAGAAGGAGGAGGAGAATGGGAGAGGGAGGAGCAGGGCAACGGAGGTGAAGCAGGGAGGAGCAGGCAGAGGAGACGGAGCAGGGAAAAGGACAAAGGGGGGGACGGGGTAGGAAGAGAGAGCCAACTTTGCCAGGCCGAGCGAGCCACGGGGCCATGCCTACTCCCACCCTCCACCCCCCCCCTCTCTCCTACAACATACGAGTCACATGAAGCACACCTCGGTCAAGACTGGAGCGCGTCCCCACCTGGCAAGCGGAAGGAGCTCGCGCGCGGCCCCGCTTTTGACAGCTTGGCGAAGAGACAACTGCTCAGGCGCCGCAGGGGCGGGATCGGCAACAACTCGTATGGGCGCGGAGCAGACAACACATATGCGCCGCGCTGACACAACACTGCCACGCTCACTCGCAAACTGCACGGCGTGTCTGCGAGGTCGGCACCTCGCCCACTCTCGCGCGGCTCCGCTGCCGATGCCGCTGTCGTGCGCCCCGGCGAGCGAACCGTGCGCCTCGCCCGCGCTTGAAAGCCACTCCCGAGCCAAAATGCGCACGGAGCCCGGGCAGGGACGGGAAATCGCCCACCCGCGCGGGGACCCCGAGACTGGCGAGCGGCAGATGTGCGCGCGTCGAGGCCGGGGCGCCACGCTCAAGCGACGTCCGCGCGGCGCCGAGGCACGAGCGACATGTTCGTCCGCCCGCGCGTCGATGAAGATGCGTGCGAGACTCGTGCGCCGCGCTGGAGCAGAGGAGCCCGATTTCTCTAGAGGAACGGACGCAGCGCAGAGGCGAGGGCGACACGGCGGCCTTTCGCGCGGGATGCGCGCCCCGTCCCAGCACTGAGGCGCATTTTGCAACGCGGGCGGCAGAATGTCCGGGATGTCCGTGCGGAGGCGAAAGACGCCGACTCGATGTTGCTCTTTGCGCAAGTAGGATGGAAGGGCACGGATTGGGTCCTTTTTCGGCCAGCTGGGCGGCAGAGTGGGAGTGTAGACTAGCAGGGAATGGGGATAGGGAGAGCAGTGAGTCAAGAGAAAAGCTGATAGCCGCTAGACACTGAATTACAGGACTTGAGGGCGGCACCTACAAGATAACAGGGAAGCGGTGAATCACACTGCGGATACAACTCTTCGAGGGTCCACAAACACAACACGTGAACTGTCCACAAGACTTATGCGCAGATTCAGACTCAGAGAATTAGGTGGAGAGTAGCTTCGCCTCGTCTTCGTTCAGGATCTCCTCAAACTCCATCTGCACGGCATTGATCAGAACCCTTCCCAGCGCTTCCCTTCAAAACCTAAGCGCAACTTACCTCATTCCGCAAGTCCCTGGCAGCAGGAGCAGAATCCTTCTCCTGCATATCTACCCATTTCGCTGCTGGGACTCCTTGTTCCAACCTCTCATGTCGTTACTCGCCATGTGTGCCGCCTGACAGTCAACGCCGCGCTGCACTCAGCGAATGGGCATCACTAAAAAGGACCGCTTAAGCGTCCACTGATGAAGTCCAGACGGCCTCCTGAAAATATAATGGCGTGACTGTGCTTCTCCAAGCATTGCCCGGCAGTCGGAAGAAGTAGGTGGAAACATGATGTAGGAAGGAGGATTAAGTAACGTGGGTTCGAACCAGCCCAAATAATAACAGGAGGCAAAAACAAAATCGGCTCTCGGGGTAGGAAAGCGCGTGAAGTAGATTTGGATCTGGCTAACAAAACATACTTTCAACGACGGGCGTGTAAGCCTTCACTAGAACAAGAGGAACCGATTTGGATGTTACTCCTGCTCGATGCAATATTCAGTTTCATGTCTTAACGCATGGCCCCGTGTGCCACCAACGCTGAGATCGCTTCACGAAATGCCATGCCAACCTGCATCACTCTCGCCAAGCTTATGAAGCTGGGTAGTGGCCGCGATCCATGCGTCTAGGAACACCGTGGGAGAAAAGAGAGACGGGGGAAAGGGAAGGAAAAGAAAAGAAAGATGTGCAAATAGAAGCGACAGAATGCGGGGAAGAGGGGAGATAAGAAGGGAGGCCATCCCGATCCTCCAAGCCTGCCTGACTGATCCCTGGCTAGAACCCGCCCAAAGCCAGGAGGAGGCGATACCCCAAGGGGCCCAGAGCTGCCCCGGAGGGCTCACCACGAGCCGCCGACCTCGCACGTGCAGAAATAAGCCCAGGGCCTCTGGCACGACACGGGAGGCCTCCCCAAGTGAGATCCGAGCACATGTGGTCGGAGAATCGTGCCGATGCACTGGCGACGCCGTCGATGCGTCGGCCGCGCGGGCGAGGAGAAAATCCGGCTCCAGATCGAGCCGCATAGATCGTTGCATCGGCGACACGGCTCGATCCCTCAGGCCTCGGTCGGGACGGAGGGGGAAAAGCACGGTGACCATGACCAAGACTGAGCGCGGAAACGTCGGTGTCGATCTTGGCCATCGTTGATATTGGTAATCATCGACTCTCGGCTGCACGTAAGAGCGACCCTGGGTAAGAGTGACCTTTGGTTCAGTTTTTGGGGGGCCGCGTGGGGACCAAACACCAGGGCGCAATGCGCTATTATTGCACAACGTTCGGCGATCAGGGATCCCCAATGGCCCGCACCAGAGGTCACTCCGGCGAAGGGTCACTCTTGCGTCTAAGCGAATGGTGGTCATCGTCGGTTCGTGGAGCATCCTCGAGAATCGGCGACGGCCAGCATCGACCATAACCAAGACCAACGTCGAGAAGATCCCGCGACATATCTTTCGGGGAGGCGTAAGACTCGGGTACGGGGGACTCGGGTTGGCCTGAAGTGGCCATCATAAAAACAACGGGGCCCAATCTGAAATTTCACGCGAGCTCCCGCTGCAGACGTCCCACGAAAACTGGACCGCCACAATCCAGGACGCGCTCGCCCAAAACCGCCGGCAAACCCGAGTTCCGGCTCGCTCGAGTCTTACGTGTCCCCGAATCCTGGGCACGGCCATCGCGGTTCCTTGGAGGCCTAGAAATTAGCACCAACACCAACACAGGGAGTTGCCTTCATATGGGGATGAAGATCCTAGATGTCGGTGTTGGTGGCAAAATTTCGGTCACCTTGGAAGCCTGAGTATTGCCACCATCACCGAGATCGGGATCGTCTTCCCTCGGTGGAGGCACACAGCCGATCTTGGTGTTGGTGTCAACCTCTAGGCCTGCGAGCTCCTCCATCGACGGGGGGCCTGGAGACGCGAGGCCCTGCGACTCTGGAGACGCGAGGCCCTGCGACTCTCGGAGCCCCGAGGCCACGTGGTGACGGACCGCGCGGTGACCTCCGAATCCCTGGCGCCCTCACCGCGCGCTCCGTCGCCGCACGGTGTTGGGCCCTCGGAGGCCCCAGTCGCTCGAGAAGTCCTCGGAGAACGGTCTGGGTCCCAAAACCGAGGGTGAGAAGGAGGAGGAGGAGGAGGAGGAGGAGGAGGAGGAGAAGGCGGAGGAGAAGGCGGAGGAGGAGGAGGAGGAGGAGGAGGAGGAAGAGAAGGCGGAGGAGGAGGAGGAGGAGGAGGAGGAGGAGGAGGAGGAGGGAGAGGAGGGAGTGGAGGGAGAGGCAGAGGAGGAGGAGATTTAGATTTAGACATCCCTGGGCGAAGACAAGCAGAGTTATCCGACTGTTGAAATCGCTGGGCGGCAAACCAGATTGGCTGCAACCGAGTTTTTACGCTGGCACAGGTGGAAAATATCACTCGGGCCCCTCCTCGACCCCAAAAGGCATGAGTTTCGGGCGAGGAGGTGGCGGCCCAAAAGTCTTACGAAAGGGAGTGAGCGCAGCCACCCGCCGCATCATGCAGCAGAGGGCCCCATACGGCATCCCCTGCAGCAGGGCTCGACGCCCAAGCGGCACCTACCCCCTCCCACGCCCAGAGGGATTCTGGTTTCGCCCTCTAGCCCTCCCCCGCCCCTTAGGGCGCGGCCGAATTTCAGCGACAGGCACACAGCGGCCCTGGGAATCCGTTGAAACCTCAGGCGTGAGAACAGAAGTATATGAAGCGAGAACTGTTTCACGACTAACAGCTCCTCTCTGAATTAAATCCTCGAGCCTAGCGCTAGACGACAGCATGTCCATCCTTCTCACATCAGCTGGTTGGAGCCTCCTTCGAGCTTGTTCAAGAGCGCTCTGGCGTCCCTCTCCAAGACTCCGCGTGGCGCTGCTCCGATCGTGATCTCCGCCCCTTGGCGAATGAGCTCCGCGCGCAGCACCTCGTCCAGCTCCGCAGCCGTCTTGTTGGTCATCGTCAGCGCCCACTGCAATCGCACCTTGCCCTCCATGCGCTCGCTCTTCTTCTTCTCCTTGCCCTGCGGGATCCTCACCCTGAAGTACTTGACTTCCGCTGCTGCGTCCACGAGCTCGCACCGCATGATGCGGTTGCGCCAGTAGTACGTCATAATCTCGCGAGGTTTTCCTTCCTCTGTACTCGCGAGGAGGGCGCGAATGAAGTCCTTCCATACGTACAGATGCGGACTGCCCAGCCTCGCCATGTCGACTTTGTCGTCCTCCTTGCTCTCCTCGCGCAGCTTCATCGCCGCCGTGTGGCAATCCTTGCCCGCCTTGATCGCCGCCTCGATACACGGGATCGTCGCCGGCACCAGGGCCGCCACGAAGACCACGCTGATGACCGCCCTGAGGTCGCCCGCCATGCTGAGCACGAGCTTGCCGAGAATGGCGACGAGCGCCGCCGCGACCTTCGCCCTGTTGGCGCCTTTGCCCGCCTTGCCCTTGGCCTCTTCCACGATGTCCTCGGCCTTCTGTGACTTCTGCACGCTGCCCGCCTCGTCCTCTGCGCCACGCTTGCCTTCGGGTAGCGCCCACTGGGGGTCTGCGATCCCCGCCTGCTTCATCCAGCCCGGCATGTCCGCGTCCTCTGCCATAGCGGAGGTTCTTGCCCACCGTAGCAGGAGCACGTATATCTGGTAGAAAAGGAAGATGCCTAACGAGATGCTGGCGAAGCTCGAGCCAAGAGCCAGCTACGTAATCACAGCCAGGGCAGTCGAGGGACCGCGGTTCTTGGGCTTCGACGAGGGCACGAGCGAGATCGGCAACACAATAACCTCTTTGAATCGATCGAGCGAGGTGCCGACGAGCTGTAACAGGCGCGGCGAATACTGTCTGGCAGACTATGCACTCATTCCTGGGGTTGAAGAACGAGCACATATCTACGATACTGTGTACCTGTCGAACATGAGTACGAAGGGCCCGTTTCGAGTAAAAGGTCCTCCCGCAGGTCCCCCCCTCCACCTCCACCTGGCACTTGAATACCTCCTCCACCTCGTGAATCATGATCTCCTCTTCCGTAGTCTCCAGGGCTGGGGGCGAAGCGCACGTTGGGGGCGCGATGTTGTGTTTGAATTCTCAAGCTCGAAGGGTGGTGACGTCTATTTGACAGAACTGCGACCTCCATTCAGGATGTTTTAGCCAGGCCACCACGTGCGGACCAGCCTCTTCCTTCAGTGCCTGCGCCTCTTCCGAAACGTGAATTAATTCATCCACAGCCGCTTGAACTCTCTTGGCCCAAGGGTTCGCAGAGGCAGAAATGCTATCATCATCGCCAAGCGCGCTGGAAGCCTGCCCACTGATGGTGCCAAAAATCGCCGCGAAGAACTGGACATTGTTGTTCCTGTCAGCCGCTGCCTGTTGTAGCCACCGAAGCCGTCGCACTCGTAGCTCCACTTCTGCTCGTGCTATCTTCCAGTGGGCCAGGACCTCTACGTTCGTGAGTGAGCGTACTTCTCCATGTTCTTTCCATGTGCAGGCCCTGCCCCGCATTGCAATCCTCGCCAGTGCTGCAACAGCGCCGTCCAATGCGTCGCACTGGCGCTTCGACGGCAGGAAGGCCTCCACGGCGGAAAGCGATGCATTCATCACTCTTCCCAAAAGAACCGTGCGCCTCCACCTCCACGGAATTCGAGCTGCACTCCAGAACGAGCCCATTGAATAAAAAGCCGCTGTAGCTGCGTGAACTCTTTTCGCCAACCCAATGCCAAACGACTGCGTACTGTTGACGATCGGGCCGAGGTACCTGGCTTGGTCGACTAGCGCGCCCTCCCAGCGCTTCCTGTTGTGCTCCTGCCGCAAGCCCCTTCTCGCAATTCCGCCCCCCTTTTCGTGTAGCGCCATGATGTTCACCTGTTTGGTAGTATTCTGGGCCAGGCCGATCTCCTGCAAGCAAGTGTTCATGATGCTATTGCTGTCGTTCAACTTGCTCCTGAGCTTGTCAAGGTCGACGTTGTACTTCGATGCTGGTGGATGCTGCAGGACCTTC